TCTTTTTAGACTCCAAAAACCCCCCACATTAGCATGATAGATGTGCTAAAAAAAATAAAGAAAAATATCAATGGGAATGAAGTCCTTCGAGCTAGATATAGATCTTCAGTTATGTTAGAACAATACTGAAGCAAGAATAGGAAAGACTCAAGACCTAAGAGAAGCTAAGATCGATCACCCAAAATAAAAGAGGATGTTCGAGATTAGTTGGGGCCCCCTTAAGTCAGACATTCACCCGAGGTCCGCACCAGAACGATTTACCCCACTGAATGCCTCAGTAGTGTAGATACTACACCAAGTTCAACATGAAAAATTTGTTAAGTGGCCTTCGAAGATGAGGTCGAACCCACACAAGAGAGACCATAACAAGTATTGCAACTTCCACAAAGATCATGGCCATGAGACAGATGAATGCATCTAGTTGAAAAGGAAATGGAGTTCCATTTTCAATGGGGGCATTTGAGACGTTTTATGGCCCGAGAAGACCAAGCATAGGCTGAGAACTGACAAGATCCCCCTGAGCCAGACAACAACATTAGCCAACTATTAGAGGAATCCATGCCATTTCAGGTAGTTTTGCTAGAGGAGGCGAATCTAGCTTTGCTAGGAAAGCCAACATGCGAAAAGCTCGATACTAAGATTTCTCTAAGGTCAAGGTTATGCATAAGGCCTTGTGCCGTCATATGGGGATAACTTTTTCTTATGCCGACCTGGAGAGATGTCAACTTTCTCATGATGATCCTTTGGTTGTTAATGCCATTATAACGAATAAGAACGTTTATTGGGTTTTGATTAACAATGCCATTCTGCTGATATCATCTTCTCGAGCGCATTCGATTAGCTTGGCATTGGTAGAAAGCAGCTCCAACTGGAAACTCACCTTGTAGGATTCTTTAAAGAAAATGGTATACCCACTTTGCGATATCCAACTTGTATTCACTATTAAAGAACCTCCCTGCCAGGCCACAACTACTGTAAAGTTCCTTATTGTCGAGGCTCCCTCAGCCTACAATGTCATCTTAGGAAGACCATCTATGAATGTTCTCAAGGCTATCTCCTCTTCTTGTCACCTAGTGATGAAGTTTCTCACCGAAAATGGGGTCGATATGGTAAGGAGATAACAGAGGATAACTAAAGAGTGCTATATTACCTTAATGAAGCAAAAGTAGATAGATTTTGTACAAATAGATGACCTTGACATGAGGGATGAGGTGGACATGAGGCCCACACCCTTAGAAGAGCTAGAGCTAATCCAGATGGATGAAGACCCTAGAGACGAGGTCTTTGTGGGTTCTAGACTCAAGGTTGTTATCAAAAGTAAACTTGTAGCTTTTTTGAAAAGTCCCTCAGATGTGTTGGCATGGAAGAAAGAGAATATGTAAAGAATAAAACTAAAAGTAATTGTCCACAAACTAAGCATGGATCCAAACAACAAGCCGATGAGACAGAAGAGGAGAAACTTTGCCCTAGAAAGGCAAAAAGTGATCAACGAAGAGGCGACCAAACTATTTAAGGCTAAAGCGGTTTGCAAAGTGGATTACCTGAGCTGGTTGGAGAATGTGGTGCCGGTCATGAAGACAAATGGTAAATGACGCATCTCAATTGACTTAATCGATCTAAATAGGGCATGCCCTAAAGATTGTTTCCCCTTGCCTCGGATAGACTTAATTGTAGATGCCACCTCAGGTGATGCCTTTTTAGGCTACAACTAGATCATGATCGATCCTACATACTAGAAGAAAATCTCTTTCATAACCGAACAAAGTACATATTGTTATCGGGGTAAGTCTTTGGTTTGAAGAATGCATGAGCTATTTATCAATGACAAGTCAATAAGATGTTTATAAAATAGATCGGCACCACCATGAAGGTGTACATAGACGACATGCTCATAAAATACTCAAGGCTAATCTCCGCAACAAGCACCTGAAGAAATCCTTTTAGATCCTAAATTTTTTTTGAATAAAGCTAAACCCAGCCAAGTGTGCCATCAGAGTCTTAACTGAAATATTCTTGGGATTCATTGTGAACTAGAAGGGGGTTGAGACAAACCCCAAGAAAATTAATGCCTTTCTTGAAATTGCCATCGAACACTAAGGAAATTCAACGCTTCATCGAGAGAATAGCTGCCTTGAACAGGTTTGTCTTTTGATCTAGTGACAAGTGTCAACCCTTCTTCAAAGAGCTAAAGGCGGCCTTCTAATGGAACGATGAGTGTGAAGAGGATTTTCAATCTCTTAAAGCCTATCTAAGCTCACCTCCCATCTTGGTTAGTCCAAAACTAGGAGCAGTATTGACCCTGTACCTAGTAGTTTCTGATTTCTTAGTCAATACAGCTCTAGTAAGAGAAGAAGAAAAAGTCCATAACCTATTTTTCTAGCAAGGCCTTGAGAGGAACCGACGAGAGGTATCAGAAGATGGAGAAATTGGTCCTTGTTTTCATAACGACAACAAGGAGGCTCAGATCATAGTCCAAGCTCATACCATTAAAGTAGGTCCACCATAAATTAGAATCGTCAGGTAGGTTGGTCAAGTGGGCAATCGAGTTAGCAGAGTTTGACATCAAGTTAAAATCGAGAACTGTGATTAAGAGCCAACCATTAGCAAACTTCATAGCTGAGTTCACTCTACTCGACAAGAAGGCCATAAACGCATCCTAAAGAAGGGTTCATTCTAGACGTCCCAATCTAGGAGCTATATGTGAATGGAACTTCTAACGCTTAGGGAAGTGAAGTTGGACTCATTTTGATGTCCCCAGAAGATATTGACCTTGAATATGCTTTGAGATTCGATTCCAAAGCCTCCAACAATGAAGTTGAATACTAAACTCTAATTGCTGGACTTAGACTAGCTCACTTAATGAAAGCTCATCAATTAATGATTTATAGTGATTCCCTCCTTGTTGTGAGATTGGTTAGGTCCGAGTGTGGAACAAAGGAGGAAAGGAAGGTAGCATATCTCAAGGTCATCAACGATTTGTTAGGAAAATTTATTTGCACTAAACTTGTGAAAATACCAAGTGTAGAGAATGCTAGAGCTAATTCTCTAGAAAAGTTTCCAACAACCAAGTAGGGAAGCCTTGATAGAACAATCTCAGTGGAACATTTGAAGGAGCCCAAAATCGCCCTAAGCTTAATAGATGAAAAGGTAATGGATATGAGACTAAGCTGCATGGACCATATTCTCAACTATTTTGCAAGAAGGAACACTCCAAGGAAATCCAAAGGAGGCATCAAAGTTGAGGAAAAGGTTATCCCATTTTCTCATAATTCAAAGGAAGCTCTACAAGGGAGGATACTTATGGCCACTCTTAAGATACATAACCACGGAGGAAGTTGATTATATGCTCAGGGAGATTCATAAAAGAATTTGTGGAAATCACATCGATGCAAGAACACTAGCCTACAAGGCCCAAAGGAAAGACTACTTATGACCCTCTATGATGAAAGACTCTACTGACCTAGTCAGAAGAACCAAAAACTGCCAACTACACTCTAACATACCTCGGTGTCCCCTAGAACCCCTCACCCCATTTCTAAGTCCATGGCTCTTTCAACAATGGAGGATTAATGTTGTGGGGCATTTCCATTTAGGAATAGGACAATGAAAATTTGTTCTGGTGGCTATAGATTATTTCACCAAATGGGTAGAAGCTGAGCCCCTAACAATTATCACCCAACAAAAGATGAAAATTGTCATACGGGAAGTCCATCATATGTCGATTTGGAATCCCAATAGCTATAGTATCTGATAACAAGAAACAATTCAATAATCTAGGCTTCAAAAGTGTTTATGCTAAGCTCAGACTAAGAAAATACTTCTCTGCACTAGCTTATCCCTAGTCTAATGGCCAAGTCGAGGTGACTATACAAATGAGTTCCAAAGCACTGAAGACAAAACTGGAAGCTTCGAAAAGTCAGTGGGTAGACCACTTACCAAGAGTAGTATGGGCCTACATAACAACAACTTAGACAACTATTAACAAAACTCTTTTTTAGCCTAGCTTTCGGAGCAAAAGCCCTTTGCACCAGTGGAGATTGGTCTCCCATCTCCAAGGATAGAAATGTCCAACCCTTAACTGAATGACAGATCTTTATTGCATAACGTAGACCTTCTTGATGAGGAATGAGGTCTTACAGAGGATCTAGAAGGGGGAATCATTGCATCAAATCTTATCCAGGAATAAGTCATTGATGTTAAGTCACCAACTTTTAGAATGTCACATCATGCCTAGGAAATGTAGACTCTAACGCATATATTCCCTCCGCCCCCATGGCTGCTTAAGGACCACACTACCTTACCGTACAAAGAGGCAAATCCTTGCTTCACAAAAAAAAATGGAGCAATTGTATCCCCAAAAAGCTGTAACAGTCTTATTTTCCAAGTAATACAAACCAGTGAGCAAAAAACTCCATTAGACTAACCAAGCTGAAGAGCTTGCTGAATTACTTACTTTCCTTGTGTTCTTGATATTCCCTTGTGCTCCTTCACTCACGTTATACACATACACACAAATACCTCATGGAAGTTCTTCATCCTCCCCAACTCACACTTTTCAGTTTCACACACCATCGGCTCTATTACGACATCATCTACTTTCATCATTAGTGATACCATTATTTTCTAATGGTTTGAAATAGAAAACAAGGTCAACAGAGTGATGACAAGCATATCATTTTTTTATTTAATTCAAATGGAAGTCCTTTCTTTTCAAGCTTCAACATTATAACCCATTAATTTGGAATTTAACTTGAGATTCTTAAGGAGAAAATACTTCGATTTTTCGCCAGAGTCAACCCCTATATATACTTGCCATCTTTCATCTCGTTTTGAAAACAAATTTGAGTTTTTTGCAAAGAAATCAACACCTGATTTAGTTTGCAATCATTGACATACTTCTTGGATATAATTAAAATTTTATTTACTTGCCGGAAAAAAAAGCATAGATGTACTTCACATATCGACAGAGATAGTGCCAATCTCCATCTGAAGCTTTGGTAATGGCAGGCACTAATTATTTTGAAGACTGGGATTTGGGAGCATCGGTATGTGGAGCCACCTCCACCCCATTTATTAAGCGAAGAACACGAAGAAGAAGAAGTTACGAGGTTGTCCGAGTATGCCTCTCTTGTTTGTCATTAAAAGAATGATATCGAAAATAACTTATAAACTTCTCGTTAACAGATGAAACATGCCCTAGTACCTGGTGGTTCTAATGGTGACGATGACTTTGAAGATGAGAGGATAGCCATTGGATTAGAAGATGTGAGCTGCCCTGTTATACTGCTTTAGATCAATAGGGATGATGATCACTCGAGCCATCACAACTCTATGGATGATTCCATTGATTTTTTCAGGACTTAAAAATAAATATGACATCATGAGTTAGGGGCGGCCCGACACATATTGAGGTCTAAAGCGACCAATTTAAATGAGACCTTTTGATTTTTTTAATGCTAACATAATTTTTTTTTTAAAAAAAATTCTCACTAATTCAATTACACATTCCTAATTATATACTCAAATTTTACTACATATCTTATCAATTACTAACATATCTTTTTGTTTATAACTGGGCCTAAAATCCACCCTTTTTTGCCTCCCTTGTTGGGCCGGCCCTGTCATGAGTCATCTCCAAAAGACAATTTCAGTGCCTAAAATAAATAAATTCTTGTTCCAAGTTCTATCTCTGTGGCCAAAGCCTAGTCTGGTCGCCACTTTTGATGTTTCTGAGGATTTTATCAACGAAGAGGTTAAGTGGTCAATCATTGCTAAAAATAATAATTAATTTTTTATGCCACCCATTTTGTGTGTTCTATTATGCCCTCAACCAATGTATACAAAAAAACTCTTATCTTTTACCCAATTTCTTTCTCTATCTATATCAATTTGGTACAGGTGCAACAACAGTAGTTAAGGTTTCTGCCAAAGTCCATTGAAAACGAAGTGTCCATTATCTTTATATTCGCTTTTTAGCATTCACAGGCGATTCCTGTGAATAACATATTTTCACTTCGGCCCCATATAGAGAGATACATGTAAGGCATAACAATCAAATCGTGTTGACTTATATTTAAATCGTGTTATTTTGTGTTCGCGTTGAATATTAGTCAATCATAACTCAACTTATTTATTAATCGTGTCATGTTCTAACACTAACCTTAGTTGTTTATTATGGAAGATAAGATTTTTTAATAGTAAGATCCATTTTTTCTCAATCAAACCCACTACTCATAATTATTTAACCCATTACTCACAATTTTTTATATGTTAAAACTGTATTAAACCCCATATAATTGCAAAGACAAGTTAAAAAGATCTCTCGTTCATAATAATTCATGTCAAAACATAATAAAAATGACAAAAATAATAAACTATCCCGTTTATTATTCGTGTTAGTAGGTCATATTATTTTCAGGTTTGTATCAAAAATTAATCAACCCTAATTCACTAAATTTGTGTCGGTTTTGAGTTTTGTGTAAATTGCCATCCTTAAATTCATGGCTGTGTTTGTCAAATACAATCCAATTCTATGGATTTGTTATTAATCACTTATATTGGCTTTTTTGAAACAGTAATGCTGTGCTGACCAAATTTAGAAACCAAATCAAGAGTCCAAATGACATGACAACGTATTATTTGAAGTCTTTATTGGGGTGTAAATGACATGACACTAAATAAAGAAGCTCATGTCAGCTGTCATGTCATTTGGACTTTAAATTTGGACAGTGTAGTATTACTCTTTTTGAAATTGTTAGCACTAGAAACACATTTATTCCAGATCCCATAGAAATGAAATGCAAAATTAATATGTTCGTGAGACGGTAGAGTGGAGAGTTAATTAAGAAGGATTGGATATATCTAGCGAAACCCAATTTTAGTATGTTGTAAGGATATATATTGAAAACAGTGGATGGCTCATACTTATATAAGAAACCTAGAAATCCAATGGGCCATTAGAAAGCGTGGAGTAAAGTGCAAGCTCAATAAAGCAATGTAGAGCGAAGTGATGCCCGAAGATATCTATCGTTATTTGTCGAGATCAAATAATAGCTGATAATGTAACAGACACTACTGCATATCGTGTTCCATTTAGATGGTGCAATTGTTGTAATCTGCCATAAAAATAACCGGGGTATGCTTGAGTTTAGATTGATGTTCGATGTTGTTCAAGTTTAATTAATCCTAGTGCAGCCCTCCAATCTTAAACATTTCAATTGAATTTACTCAGCTTACTTGCACTCCACAAAGATCAATTTTGTGGATAGGGGTGGAGCTAGAAATTTCAATTAGGGTGGGCCCTTAATTCTATGTTGCAATTTTTATGTTGATAAAAATAAGTTCATATGCTAATATTTATTTACAGAGCCTGATCTCATGCAAACAAAGGCCAATTACATGAAACTCCTACCAATTTGATGTTCGAATTAAGAGCATAAGAAAAAATAATACTAAACATTCAATTATAAACCAAACACAACTTATATTCCCAAAAAAAAAAATTCAAAAATCAATAACAAAAGGATAATGAAATTTTAATAGAAATTATAAAATGACTCTTGTTTATTCAAAATTTATTTGGACATGTTTGGATGGTATTCATAACATGGCCATAGAGATTTAGGTAGATCAATATGAAAATAATAGGGTTGGCACCAAAACATATACTTGAAGGTGTTGAGTATATGTATATACAAACATTTATAAGAATAATTTCTTAAAATTATTTGAGGGGGGCCGGTGACCCCTGGGCCAAGGGTGGCTGCACCCGTGGTTGTGGATTGATGACAGGCATAAAGGCAACAAAAAAAAAAAAATACAATGTTACATGAATTTAAAAAGTAGACTTAATAATTACGACCATTAATTTCACTTTAGGTCTCAATATTTTTTGGCACCCACTATTTATTCAATAATTATGATTATTAAGTTTAATTTTTAAGTTTATCTTGTATTTCTTAGAAGAAAACGATCAAAAATAATTTCATAGTGCCCGCAACGAAATGACAAATTGGTAGATGTACATTGCTGAAACAATTTAAGTTATTTTGGAGTGATATTATTTTGAAATGTGCTGCAAATATTTGAAATATTAGTTAAGAGGCGTGTGGCACTCGGAAAAAAAAAAAGGAGAAAACAAAGACAAAATAGAAGATTCAATCCTTCCCAAAGAGCACATATGATTGGAAATACAGAAACTTTGGAGGAAGAGGGGGGGGGGGGGGGGAGAGAGAGAGAGAGAGAGAAAACTAAAACAGTGTATAATACAGAGGAAAGAAGAAAAAAAGTTTAAACAATGTGCAAGCCAATATTCAGATAAATATCCATAAATCAACTTTATTGCTTTATGATCATCCCTAAGATCGCCGACTAGCTGCGAAATTTAAGAATTAGGATGAGAAATCTAGATCTAGCGTTGGACTTTCTTAAAAATTTTAATCACGAGCATCTTAAGGGTGAACGAAGGTGGGCTTTGAAATGCTGATGACGGGGGCATGTGACATCCTCCATGAGGTATGCGGGGGAAAGAAAGATTAAAAGTTGATGTTAGCATATTATCCTGGGCATAGACCTCAAACTCTTTTTTGAATCTAGGGCTGGTTGCAAGTCCTTCCAAAATTTTCAAGACTTTTCAGTTCAGTTCAGAGAGAGAGAGAGAGAGAGAGAGAGAGATCACGGATGCAACCAAATAATTTTTTTACATGCAACACCCGTGTGTATTCCTCTTCCCTCACACTTTAACTTTGTCAAGAACAGTAAAAAAGCACTGATATATAAATGCCCCCTTCCTCGCTTTGGTATCACTTGACCTAACTCTCATCACTATCTTACTGCATATTTTGTGAGAAGCAATGTCAATTGAAGCTCTGGCAATGGCAGGCGCGAATTATATGGAATGTGGCATTAACCTTGAAGCATGGGAACGCAGTAGCTCGGAACAGCTACCTCCATATCTTCTAGCTGATCAACAATATCTGAGCATTGAGGTTCACAAAAAGGGTTGTGCTGATAAGTTGGTAGACAATGGTGAGCTGGTGAAAGCAAAGATGCGGGAATGGGCTAAGGCTGTTGCTTCAAAGAGTAATGCAATTCAATTCGAAATGTTTTAGCTGGCGTATCGAGTTTGTATTTACCATTATCTTTCTTAGAACTTCTCAAGCAAGTTTAATCCACTGTGTGAAGTTTAATTTTATGTATTTGATATGACTGGCATGGATATCACATTGGAGATAAAATTAACCTACTGGTAGATACAGCCAGATGGGGTTGCCATTTTAATCAACCTGGTCACAGCATGTGCCAAATGCATAGACTACAGTTAAACTTGTTTTGAAATTTTTGATAAAGAATACAAACGAAGAGATTTAAACTTTAAGTCATTTACCATGACTTTCAAAATGAAAAGATTATAATTTATACGCAAGCGTCGTATATTTTTGACCATCAAGAAGTTTTATAATCAACAAATAAATTGCCGAGATTTGCTAACAAATCTTTACACTAATCTGTATCAAATCTGTACAATCCATAGTTATCAACAAAGAATCCATTATTTAAGCATTTATATTGTGGTTGAAAAAGTCTAAAGCTTTTATGTTGTCCATGGTGTCCTCGTCGATCTGAAGCATTTATTGACACTTTAAAAATATATATACATAAACACGAGGAATCTAATGTATAGCAGTAGACTTCAATCATATTAACTAACATGGATCCTAAAAGACGATGATGAGAGAAAATAGTGAATAAAACTCTATCTTTGAGAAGATAGAAGGTGTATTTGTTATTAAAAGAGTGTGCTTCTAATGTAGGGTAAACTTAATTAAAATGGGGTGGGAATAAAAGGAATGGACTTAGTAATTTTATCATAAAAATTTTAATGGGGTGAGAAGGGATATTTGTGGGGTAGGAATAATTCCACCATAATCAATTTATTTTACACAAATAGAATTTTAGTTCTCTCCCTGATTACATCAATGATCGAAAATAATGATAGTTGGAGTAGATTATGGTACAATAAATTTTTTCAGTACTATACCAAAAAGTTATCGTTGTGCAAATCTTGTCACGTGTAAAAACAAAAGTAAGGTAATTGGTTTCATTGGTTGTTTTTTTTTTTAAATTGTCTATATATACCAATTGAGGGCAAAATTAGAACATCTGTAGAAAATTTACAATAATAATGGATAAAAATACAAGATTAGTAGAATTTTTATAACAATAGTGACCAAAATTATCACAATAATAGGCAAAATTACAACATTAGTGACAAATTTATGACAATAATTGGT